ATAAAATATTTATATAAATTGAATATGAATATTTGATAGTGATAGCATCATCAATTTGTAAATTATATAATTATAATTGTATTGTAATTATAATTTAATATTATTAAAATAAGAAATTATGAGAAAAAACTGAAAAATTATATAATTGTATTATAAGAAATTGTATTTATTATGATTGTATGTAAATTATATGAATTATGTATTCTTTTGTAAATTACACGCAAAGTTACCAAAAAACACGTGTAATGACAATATATAGCAATTAGTTCAATTAATATATACATATATTTATTTCTAAAGTATGTATTGTAAAAATGTTCTTACACACATAAATTTAACCGTGTGTATTTTCAATTAGGAAAAAAATTATTAAGAAAATTTATTTTATTTTACATGTGTACACAGTTTTTTTATATACATCAAAATATTTCAATCCTAATTTATTATCGGTATAGTATATACTAGAATGACAAAACATCACGCGCAGCTAATAAAACATTAATAAATCCATAATCTTTCTCCGCGTTTTTCATCCAAAATATGTATTTAGCATGGACATGCACCAACTGATTGTTTTATCATGGCATCAAAAAGTGGTTTTGGCCATGTAGTTCCGCCGGCTCTAAAATGAATCTAGTTAGCACCACTGTACCAGCTAGGAAAACGGTCTCGCGAAAAACGGCGGCGTGGCCCCTGCTTTTTTATCTAAAGTCGATAATCAAAATCGCTCTCTTTTTCGGGCAAAAGCGTTGTTTCTTATCTCAATATTTGCTTTCTTATATCAAGAAAGGAAACAAAAACGTTGGGAGAACATTTCTGTTGTACAATGGAACATTTCTATTTTCTCCCCCGTTATTCTAGATCAGCTGTTTCTCGGTAATTTGAAATTTCCCCTCTTACGCTTCTCTCCCGCTATACGCATGACGCGTGAGCACGTGACTATACGTAGAGAGAGAAAGCGAGTAAAAGACGGAGAGAACGCGATGACATTTTCATTTTGCGCATACGCGATTGTTACGGAGCAGGAAT